AAAGTGGTTTTGTACGAAGCAGTTGTTTAAGTGCCTTCTGATGACTATCTGGCAAAGTATCCCAGCTTAAATGTAACTGAATATGCCAGTTTCTATTTGTTTCTTTCATCAAATCGCTATAATTGTTGGTATCATAATTAGAATAATTGTATCCATTTACACGGTTCAGTTTACACAAAGGTATTTCTTGCGCATCCCTTAATGGAATACCGTTGTGGATAAAGTTCATCACGTGATTTTGCTGTTCAGTCCAACAGTCAACAATACGAAATGGCACTGAAATTTGTAATTTAAATAATCAAATTCAAATCAGCAAAATATTTTATTTTAACAAAATTTGTATGAAAAGAATTTTTGAATATTTATATGTTATGTTAATGCATAATTTACAAAGATTAGACTTTTTTTAATTAAGATAATGTATAAGTTTTATGAAATTAAGTAAATTTGATTCTGCTCATCAAAAATTCTATTTTTCATTCAACAAGAATGAATAATATTATTTACAGCATCTCTTACATAAAGAAATTATTTTTTTGATTAGTATTTTATATTTATGAATATATTTTTTATTCTCTTTGCAATATTATTAAAAATAACCCATACTGATTTTTGAAGAAATCAATATATCGAGATCAAAACCAATTTGTACTGATGAATTTATTTGTACTAATTCACCATTTTGATTCACACTTACACTAATCTCATCCTGAATTCATTAATAAAAAATAATATAATGAAAAACAAAAGTAATAAAATGCAATTAATAAAAATTAATTACTGAAATAGTAAAAATTAAATTAAAAATTTTGATTTTATGTTATTTAAATGTACTATTGGATTGATGTTAAATACTTATACTTAATAAAAAAAATATAGGAATTATTTAAAAAATAAAATAGCACTACTTCTTGGTTGCATGTAAGATGTAGCTTGTGTTTTCTTTTATTCCCAATTATCAACAAAATCTAAAATTATCAAAATTATTATTCTAAACTAAATCTAAATTTATTCATTTGTTGGGTATATAAATAATAAAAATAGGGTTAATATTAATTAATATAATTAAAAAATAATCACTAAAAATAAACAGCAATATTAAGCAATCTGTTTTAATAACAATTTGTAATTTCAGTTAGGCAATAATAATTACAAATTACTTACTTACCTTTTGTGTAGTCTCATTTGACGTGCACGTTTGTGGAATCATTATACTATTATCTTGAAAACTTCTGTGCATTTTCACTTCAAATTCACACATTATTTGATTACTTTCTTTTCCATCTTGTAGTATAACTTTTATTGAGTCCTTAAAAAAAGTAAATAAAACTGAAAATAATATGTAAATTAAAACAGCTTAATTTGCTATTTGTTATGCAAATATTACATACTTTATAATATCTCAAATAATTTGATTGTAGCAAAATATGTGAACCATTTTGTGTACACGTCACGATATTATGCAAATTCACTACTGTTAAGTCAGTAGTACTCGAAATTAGAGTAGTCGAAAATGCTAAAAAGTAAAATCATCAAATAAATATGTAAAAAAATAATTTAATTATACAAATTTCAACTTTTTTAAGATATTTTTTAAAAAAGAGTTTGCTTAAAAAGAAATTTGCTTATTAAAAAGAATAATTTCGCTTAATTTGAATTAATTTTGCTTATTAAAAAGAGTTTAATAAAAACAAATTTTGAATTACTACTAATTAAATTCAAAATTTGATCTTTTTTATAAGCAAAAAGTTTCTTTTTTTATCACAATGCATTACCTTTAAAAAGTGATAATAAATATAATGCAAGAAGCAAAAATATGCATTGCATTTCATTTATTTTTTTAAATCAAAAATAATTCAAAAAAATTACGTTACTTTAATATATGCAAGAATTTTGGGCAAAACGCCTCCTTCTAATTGTCAGTGATGATGAATTCTCGACTATTCATAAACATTAAGCTCAATATTGATAACACGTGTAAAATGGCTTCTTCTTGCTGAGGCTTACGATACTTCTTGAAATTATTACTCATGCATTTGTAAGCTTTTTGTGACTTTTTGATTCATTCAATCAAAATTTGAAAAATTTTTTTACTAAATCAAAACACTGCTCTTTATTGTTTTGAGAATAATCAGTTTCTAAAAATATTCAATATTTAAAAAAATTCCTCAATTAATTAAAAAGATATAATTTATTTAAAGTTAATTACGATAGCAAACTTTAACCCTTTTATAAGTATATTATTAAATAATGCAATTTCAACAGCATTAGGTGCATTTAAAAAGTATGAAATAATAAATATAACTCGTTATATTTTAGCAGATTACTTTTGTATAAGTTAATTTCAACTTATTGATTATTTAAATATTTTTAGAATACTCAAAAAATCATTCAAATTTTTATAATAAAAGCATTTTTTTTGCAGTGAAACATTGCAAAGAATGAAAAAGATTATCAAAGAATAGCACTATTCTTATCTCTCAAACTACACATTTGACCTAATGACCCATATTTTTTGACTATTTCCCTCTCACTCCGAATATCACTTAACATCCGGTAGACACTGCAAGAATTTATTCATTTATTTTTCTACCAGTCATCCTTTCTACTATTCAAGTTATTTTCCTTCAACATCACAATATGCTTAGTATTACAGTTTATATTTTCACTTATTAATCTCTTAATTTTATAATTTGGCAACTATCTTACTAGCTTCATAATTATAACTTTATTTTAGACTAATTGTGAAAGACCATTAATAATTCACTTTGAAAAAACTTAATCATTTCAAAAATGAACTTTATATTATTTTTTCAGTTCAGTAAGTAGGTCAGTAATGTGCTCATATTTAAATTTATATGTCGCAAAAATAAATCTAAAATTTTGTCAGAGTTTTTGTTTGATAAATATTCATATCAGTGATTTAATCAGTCCTTTAATTCAATTAAATTAAGCAATTTTTATTTCTTTGCATTGAAATAGATTTTTATAAATGTTAGAGTAACTAATTTACATGAGAATAGAAATTTGATCATGTTTATTTCTTTGATTTGACTTTTCTACAGCGTCTTCTTAAACATTTTTGTAAAATAAGTATTTTTTAAATCCAAGTTTTTATTTTGGTTTAATTGTCAGCAAAATTTCTCTGTAATAAATACTTGTCATTAATGTAAAATATAGACTCACATAATTATTATACTTTTGCTTAATCCTAAGGCTCATATTTTTTCATTATTGTTCCAGCAGTCAAAAAAACCAAAATATTGAACAGAAAAAAAGTTTTATTTCAATTGTTATCAAAAATTTAATAAGTAATCAAGCACACAAGTCACAATAAATTTAGATTTAATGATTAATTCAAATAATTTTTGATTTAACGATTAATTCAAAACTTAAGTCAACTTTTTTAAAATGACAATTATTTAGTGAATTTGCATAATTAACTTTTATTTTTCAGGCAAATGATTTCAGTGTTATTTTACGCAGTATCTTGTATTTTTGTAAAAATTGAAGCTGCAAAAATTCTTGAAAAGTCAATTGAAAAAGTTCATCTCCCAAAAGCACAATGTCAATTTTCGGTGCATAACGAAGGGCCAAATGGTGAAGTCATTTCGGGTTCGTTCCAATTTTTTTCTTTTTTCTCAAATATTACACGAAGTTATTTGCTCCATTTAATTAAAATTAAAAGATTTAAAAATTTGAATAATAAATATCTGCAGAAGTAAAGACGGAATTAATTTACTTTGTAAGTACTGGAATTTAATTAATAATTAATATTTTTGTATAATTATTTGTTATCAAGTAAAGATATCATCTTTCGTGAAACCCTTCTAAAAAATTATTTTTCTCAAAAAATTTCATTTGGAGAAATAAATAAAAATGAGACAGATAAGAGGTCAATAAAGCATGTAAATAGAAGCTACTAGCAAAATGTTTTCTTTTGTTTTTGAATCTAAATTTGGTAATGGCGGCTTCAGTTTCGAAGAAGCAACAATAACAATTCAATCTATAAAAATGCGTTAATTAATTATTAATTAAAAAATAAAAATTAATATTTTGTTTTCATAATATCTGAATAAAAGATTCTTTTACAAATTAAGTCAAATTTATTATAGATTAATAACCCAAAGATATGTCAATTTACAACAATTTTCCATCTGAAAGATGTAAAAGCAAAATTTTTATTTTTATTCTCACCAAGCATTTTACTGGTACTTTTTGCGCAACTTTTCATATTCAAACAATTCGAGTGAAATTTACAGGTACAAATTTGCACTCAAAACTGTACTACAAAATAAAATGTAATGTACAAAAAGGTTACTGTTTGCATGTTGCAAATTGCACTGTAAATAGCGATGAAAAAGATGCGCAAGCTTATAGAATTATTGATGAAAATGGTTGTACTACCGAGCCAAGCTTGTTCGAGCATGTACTGGCAAGTTTTAAATGTACAAAAATTCAGATTTTAAAAATGTAAAAAAATTTTCAAAATTCTCATAACTCTATAAAGTAATTGTTAGTTTTATTAACATTGATGATTTGTTATTACTTTAATAGTAATTATGCAGTAAGTACGGATACCTTTCGTGAGATCTTTCTAAATGATTATTTTTCTCGAAAAATTTCATTTGGAAGGACAGATTTGGAGGAATAAAAAAATTTGCATATTTCAGTTTTTATTTTTCAATTTCTGCTTTTGACTTAGTTGTAATGTATCGATCAATATTATATATCTTTCAAAGTTTAATATCATATAAGTAATATAATATTTGACATGAAGAATAAACTGAAAAACTATTAGCTTATGATAATTTTCTGTCTATAAATTTTTTAAATCAAAACTCATTAAAAAAACATTCCCTCTAAATTGTGAATAAAAATGTCTTCAACTGATTATGAATAGCTGGTCAATTATGATCTAAAAATTATGAATAATTATTAATTCTGAATCACGAATAATTTTAAAAAAGTTTCAGTACGAAGATGATTTTACAGCGGGAATTTATAATCCACTCCCGATTAGATTTCGTAGTTCCAGTTCAACTGTACAATTCTTCTGTACTACAACTTTGGTTCCAACAATTGGTCGTAAATGTTCTCGTAAAATTTGTACATGGAATGAATACAGTAGTAATCAAAATTAATTAAACTTCAGACTTGTGCGAAGTTTGGATAAAATTTGTAATATATGAGGAAATAATATGACAAAACCGAAACATTGATATGTTTAGTACAATTTTTTGAGTTTTACACTAAGTAACTGCTGATAAACTTATCGTTATCATATTATCATATCACTACATTGCCATAGTTAAGTTTTGCATAATTTTGTATGATTATAATAAAAGATGCTGTTGTAATTTTGTTACGTGAAAACTAGTCGTGCATTTAATCCAGCAAACTATTCTTTTTTCAGCTATTTGACTTGTATTCCTGTGATTTTATTCCAAGCATAAAGAAATTACTAAAAATGTAATCATATAATTGATCATGATATCAGTAGATGTTTTGAATTAACTGTATGAATCATATTTTGAATATTTAGCCTTTAAAAACCTATACTTAATTTAAATAATTTCTGGAATTATTTTTGAGTATTTCAACGATACAAAAATATTGCAATATTATTTTGGATAAAATTTTGAGACAAGATCTTAAAATGTTGCTCACTAAGTAAGTAAAAATAATTTATTAAAATATCAAAAATGGCATTTCTGAACTGTAAATGATTGATTTAGTGACCTTTATACAAAAAATTTGTCATTGATAAAATCAAATTAGAGCTTATTCAATTCGTAATGTGTTTTCAGCAATTCGTTATTTTCAATCACTGATAAACTCCAAATAAAGACTGTAAATCAATTTTATAATCTGACAAATTCACAAACAATATTAGAAATTATGACATAAATTATTATAAAAAGTTGGTTGATGAGTAAATGATTGATTTGTTAATCAAATTAGCTTTAAAAATCAAATTAATCACTTTATAGCTTTATCTTGTGGATATCAGACTAAATCATTAATTTTTGAAAAAAGTTTTAAAAATCTAGCAGGAAAAATTTAATATAACAAGCAGATGTTACAGCACATGTCAAAGTTTAATTTAGACAATTTTTTATAATTTGTCATAATTTCTGATGACGTTTGAATGGAATCAGATTAGAGATAGAATAATTCAGCAAAAATTAGCTGCAAAGCATATAAAACTTTCTGCTCAAATTATGAAAATCAAAAGTTTTTGTGAAAATAAAAATTAAATAATACAAGTCGTAGAAATTATTTTTAAAATTTTTACGTAATTTTATAAAATTTTATATTTATTGTTTATGTTGACTATGAAAAAGATCTGCTTCTAAACAGAAAAGACTTAATAATTTTATAATTTTTCAAAAATATTTTCCACAGTTTCACTTTGAAATTCTTAAATATTCGCAGAAAATTTCAATGTTACCTTACTTTTTTACATATTTCAAAAAGTATTTAAAGCCAAAGCCATTATATAAAATAGAGTTAACATTTCAAAAAAAATGTTACCATGTAAGTCAGTACCCATATAAAAGATACTCCCAAGAATTCTATCTCTAAAAAACAATGGGAAATCGAATCGCAATGAAATCGCAGGATTTTACGATTTTTCCCTCGAAATCATCAAATAAAATTGTCAATTTTTGGATTTTTTCAAAAATAGTTTAAGATTTTAACAATTAATAATTTGCTTCAGATAGTATAGAAGAAATTTTGTTCATATTCGAAGATAATTGATAACAATATTGTTTGTTTTATTGCATACAAATATTTTCAAGCTTTTGACTTCCAAAAACTATATTAAAACTATATTTTAACTATTATAACTATATTATATTTTGTCTATAACAGACAAAATTAGTAAGTATGATTTGTTTTAAAGTGCTAAATTATGAATTAGGATAAAAATTTCTATATTATACTAAAGTAATTTTTAGTAATCATATAAAATTTTATATATTATTAATAATATGCTCGTTTATAAATAAATATTGACAAACTTTCAAGCTAAAACTTGATCATCAACATTCTTTACTTCTGCAATTTGCTTATATGTTTTTCATTGTAATCAAACCACAATAATTAAGCATCGTTACTTAATTTCTAAAATTCAAAAATAAAACCTTATTTTTTCAATTTTCAAAATGAAGTGTTTTTCAAAATATAAGCGATTGAAAAAATGTGTTATCAAAGTTTGATTTGATATCTGATATTAAAAAATTTTTGACCCTTTTTTTTTGACACACTGAAAAATATTCTAAAATTATTTGAACAAATAATTGAAAAACAACCATTTAAAACTGATAAAATCAGAATAATTTTTAAAAAAATCTTTCGCAAATTAAAAAATTATTCGTTTATTGTGTTATTATTTGTGTTCTTTGCATCAGTAGCACTAATCTCTATTTTTACGTCTTATTTTTTATTAAATTATTAAGATTTTTTACTAAAAAGCGAAAAAATAATTATTTATAATATTATTCAAACTATTGCAAGTACTGCTGATTGTGCTACTTTGATCAAATTGGAATTTATTTATTTTAATACGCAGAAACTACTTATAATGCTTACTTTAACTTAAAAAAATATGGAAATATAATGCTACGAATTTGATTTATTTTCATCCTGGAAATTTTTAAGTAGTCCAAAGCTCATTTTAATCCATCTTTTAATTTCAAATTAACCTGTTTTTAGTATTTTAGTGATTTTAAATAAAGAAACAAAAATAAAAACAAAAACTTCATCAAATAAATTTGGTTGCAGCTTATCCTCATTTTACGTTTGATTATTAGATTACTTCAGCTTCTTAGCAACATTTAAATTTTCACATTATGCATAATTATGCCAATCTATCGAAATTACTGGCTAATTTTGTTTATTTGGTGTAAAGAACAATATTTAACTAACCGCTCATGTGTTATTGTTCAGATTATTCAGTTAACTTGTAAATGGATATTTGCAAAAATGGCTGTTTAATTTGTTTAGAACAATTACTTTGGTTTAAATATTGGAGTTTCATGTAATAGATTTGAATTTAATACATTTAATTAAAAGTAAAAAATACCTTTGTGTAGAAGAAATTTTATGCACAACTTACTCTTTTAAAATATTAAAAAGTAAATTTTTTTAATTTCAAAAATTTAAAGTGGCATTATTAAATTTTTAGGTAGCGAATAATAGAATAATAACTTTATAGTAATATCACAAGTATTATTTCTTTGTGAAGTAAATGTCAATTCTGCTTTAATAAAATTTTTAAGATAAAATTTTATTGCAGTCAAAATTAACAGTAAACTGAGGCATCATTTTAATTTAGCAAGTAAGCTATTACAATGTTTAATTGTAAAAACGGAAAACTTTTCAAATTTTCGTGATTTTTTTAGAAATTCAAGTTTTTTTTTACTTTTTGTAAAATAAATGCTAACGAAAATTCTAAAAATATAAAAATAGCAAATAAATATATAATTATTTGTCTGATTCATTGTTGATGCCAAAATTAGCAGATTTATGCATACCGAGATCACTTACGAGTTCAGTTAATGTATGAGATTTAATGCTTTAATGATATGTGGGTGTAAAGTTGAGTGTAGAGCAAAAGTAAGGATTAAAGCAAATGTTAATCACTGATTTATGACATCACAAATGACGTAAAAAAAATCAGTGTATGTTTGTATTACGCACTTAATGGACTTACTGTTTACGGTCAAGGCCGTAACTGCACTAATCGTAGCAGTTTATTTTTATAGACGAGAACATTTTTTGAAATTAACAAGTATTCTTGGAGGTTAATTCACCAAATTAGGATACGATGTTTAATTGAAATGATAGACTACTGATCAATTTAAAAGTTTGTTCTTACTTTCATATTAATTTTCTTGTTGACGTATTAATTTCCAAGGAATAAATAACACTTATTAATGTATTATTATGTATTTAAAGCTATTATTAAATTAATAAAATGCATATTTTGCTTCCTAAAATTAAAAATAAATTTAACAAATAAATAATAATTGTAGTCAGTTCTTTGAGACTAACTTCAATGGAAATAATTTAAATGCGCAAATAGGATGTTTATTGAGAAATAATTCAATTTAAAATGTTGCCATCAAATGTCAGAAATAATTACAAACTTATTTTAATATTACAATAATTAATGCATATAACATTTACTTACGCATAATTACGCGTGTACTTATGATTATGATTTTGCGTGTTATAAAAAAGTTAAAAATATTAAGAGCATTTTTAACTATCAAGTACGCATAGACCCTCAAGTACGCGTTTAAATATGCTCGTAAACGTACATACATGCTAACATAAACACGCACACTCACATCTCACAGACGTATTCACGTACACTCACACACACACACACACACACACACATACACGCATGCATTTACAAACATACAAACACACACTCGTAAATACACACTCAGACTCACACACACTGATGCACAGACAGTTATAAGCACGCATTCATGTGTGTACATTCACATACACTCACGCACACTCACGCACACAGATTCATACACGCACAGACACTCATAAACACGCACGCACACTCACGCACAGTCACGCACACAGATTCGTACACGCACACAAATTCATACACGCACAGACACTCACAAACACACGCACACACAATCAAAATACTTACGTTTATACACACATATGAACCGATGAATAGATCGAAAAAACCAGAATGTGTTGTACTATTGAAAAGGGGAGTTGAAAGAATTAAATACTCGATAATAATAGTTCACAGTCAAAAGATGGCTGTAAAAACCTAAGTTCTAGTACGTTTCGTTCTTGCGTTAACATCCCAAATTAAGTGATTAATTTTGAAGAAGTGAAAAGTTCGAAAACTTTGGAATTATGTATACTCTTTAGGTATAAAAGGTATAATTTTCAATCAAATTATATTCTAAATAAATTTTCTTTTTGACATTTTTGATCTTGTTTAAACTTTTTGTTTTTATCATTTTTGTTTTAAAAAAAAATCACTTCGTGGGATTTTAATTTTTATAATTTCTAATTAAGCTTAAAATTCAGATCAAATATTTAGCAATGTAAAGCAATTTTGTTAATTTGTATTTAAGTATTAAATTTCCTATAAACTTAGCTTG